TAGTTTTTCTGAATTAATAAATTAGTTTCTGGCTTTAAAATGACTGAATTTAAACATTTTATTCAACTATATTTTAAGTCAAACTTTAACATGTTGAAATCAGTATCATCATCATCATCATCATCATCATCATCATCATCAAATTCTGAAGCTGTTTTGTTTCTTTGTATTTTACTATAATTACAAAATAAAGCAGTTATTTCTGATTCCTCCAACCATGTGTCTGTTCACAGCTGAAATTGAAGCTACTAAAAATGACTTTTCATTAAGACCAAACTTTAACTCTTCATTAGTCGCCCCTGAAATTCCTTAAAATCCTTTTGACATTTTTAATTTTTTGTAATTTTTTAATTTTTTGTAATTATTTTATATTTTTATTTTTTTAATAACAGCAACCTTTTTTAAACCTAAATTTCCTCTGAGATCAACAAAATATTTTTGAATTTGAATTGAATTGAACTAAAAAGTAAGAACTGAAGGAATTCGTCTAACATCCTGGTTTTCAAAATAAAAGCTCCCTGTAGCACCTGGAAACATTGAAAGGCAGAAAATGTAATTTTTGCCCACCGGTGGACAAAAGACTGTTAAATCTTAAATCTGGAATCTGTATTATTTGTAGTTTTATTTCCTACAAACAGAAAAATTACCACAAAAACTTTCAGAAAATCCAGCAGTCCTACTTAAACCTCTTTTAAAAAGTCTCTGATCTTCTTCATTCACACAAACTATGTTTTTTAATAAAAGATTATTCTGAGAATGGTCATATTTACAGAGAACTCAGAGGTCCCCGTCTTCATGCATCTCTGTATGACTTTATTCCTGCTCCAGATCAGAACCGGACCCTTGATCTCAGGTCGGGTTTCATTAATGGCACCCAGGAGCCTAAAGAAGTCCTGTTCTTCATCATCCAGGGTCTGTCCAGACTCGACGACAGGAAGATGATCCTTTTTGTCATCCTGCTGCTGACTTACATCATCATCCTAGGAGGAAACAGCATGATCATCTTTGTGGTACAAATGAAAAACAAAAATTTTACAATATCCCTGAAAATGGTTTCAGTCTGAGTCCTGATCAGTGTCTCTGTTTTCAGACGCTGGTGGATTCAAAGCTCTCCTCTCCCATGTTTTACTTCCTGCACAACCTTTCCTTTGTGGACATGGTCTTCACCACCACCACCATCCCCAACATGCTGTCCGGCTTCCTGAGAGAAGAGTTAACCATCTCTGTCCCCGGCTGCTTCATGCAGATGTTTTTCTTCATCCAGCTGTCTGTAACGGGTCGAGGGATCCTCACCGTCATGGCGTACGACCGCTACTTGGCCATCTGCAACCCTCTGCTCTACAGGGCCATCATGACCCGACCCGTCCAGAAGCTCCTTGTTGCAGGGGCCTGGGTGTTCGGTGTTCTAACCACTCTGCCGCCCACCGTCATGGCCCTGCGGCGGTCCTACTGTGGCTCAAACGTGATCCGACACGGCTGGTGTGACCTGTCGTCCGTAAGAACACTGGCGTGTGCCGACACCTCTGTGGATAACATCGTGTCTCTGGCGTTCGCCCTGCTGAGCCTGCTGACCACTGGAGTCCTCATCCTCACCTCATACATTCTGATCTTTGTGTCCCTGTCCAAGATGGCCATCGCTCAGAGGCTGAAGGCTTTAGGAACGTGTGCCGCCCACCTGACTGTGGTGTCCATCTCCTACACTGCAGCTTCCTTTGTCTACATTTCCTACAGGGTGGGAAACTTTTCACCTGAGGTATGAGATTTATGAAATGAGTTTATTTATTTATAGACTTAGAGTGAAATAATTATTAGAGGTGCAACGATACAGAAAATTCATGATTCGGTTTGGTTTGACACTTTAGTGTCATGATTTGATAATTTTTCAATTCACAATAAGAAAAATGTCCATGCCCTTCTTAACTTGTAATTTATTGAAATTAATTATGAACAAAGTCTAGTGTGTTGTTCCATACACAGTGTGTATTAAACCTGAAGCACTGTATTGAACAATTCTGTATTGTTACACTCCTAATACTTTTGAGTTGGGTTTTTGTTACTTTGTAAATAAATATAGTTTTATTTTTGGAGGGGGAGGGGCAGATATTTATCTTCTTTCTGCTTATTTCTTTCTGTTATGTATATATTTTGTTTTAGTTTTTATTTAAATTAAATATTTTTTATAAAAATAATTATCTGCTTCACTTTATGATGAAACCATTGGGTCAGTTTCTATTTAAAGCTGTCAAGTGAGAAGAGTTTAGTGCAACAAAAGGCTGTCAGTTGCTCAGAGAACAGARTTTGTTCTTGTTGTTGTAGGTGCGTATCATCGTGTCTGTGCTGTACTCTGCTCTCACTCCGTTCCTGAACCCGATGATCTACAGTCTGAGGAACAAGGAACTGCTTGAAGCCATCAGGAGAACTTTGAGGAGATTCAGACCTGCTGTGGCAGCTCCGAAACACATCAACTCCCAGACCTGACAGTTTATACAGTTCAGTCCTGTTCAGTTTAAATATATATGGTGCTATACAAAGAATATGTTCATTTACCCAGTTTATTAGAATCTCATATAAAACACTACATCATCATGGAGAAAGAGACAAACACCTGAAGTCATCTCCTGATAACTTTATCATATTTAAATGTTGGGAGAAAGAATAAACTCTTCATCAAGTGAGAAAAATTGAAACGGTAACATTTGTTGAAATTAGTTGCAGCCTGAGACAAAGTGTTGTATGTATATTAAAATGAAATGAAACAAAGTTTAATTAAAACATTTTGTCTTAACTCTTAAACACAGACTGATGCTATCATCAGATAAAATAAAGTTACTGTGACATGTTGGATAAAGAAATGAACACAACTCCAAATTATTATTATTATTAGAAATATTGATAAAAATGTTTTTTTATCTCAGTTTGCCATTATTTGATAGGTGCTCTAAACTGGCTTTGTTTATACAGAACGAGTAAAGTTTTTCTGTTTTCACAGACTCGTGAGGAACTCAACAAATGACCACAGGTCTACTTCAGTATATGTAAACCTGCACRAATCATGTGAACGAGCAGCAGCTGTGCAGATTATAAAACAGGAGCAGCTGCAGCAGAAACTCAAGAGATAGTTACACCCAATAAAAACTATTTTTTAACTTTATCTTTACTTTTCCTTCACTAAACCCCAAATAGTGTTCTTTGGATACATGAACTCATTTATATTGCAGATTAATAATAAAAAAGATAATTTAATACCTATTTGATTGTATTTTTGCTCATTTCATTCAATTTTGTAATTTATTTTGTCTTGCTTCAGCTTTATATTATCCTAATTTAGCCTGTTTTATCTCATAAAGCTCAAAAAGTCAATTTTACGTGATATTGTCCCTTTTAATAAGCTGTCAGAACAAACCCATTCATGTAGCTCAAAGTCCTGTAGACCAGCAAAGCCAGAGGTATTTCAGTTCACCTGTTCTTTACCTGAGCTTCTGGTCACTTTCAGAACACTTAGTTTGAGTTTAAACTAACTAATAATCTCTGTTAGTGAGGAAGAAATTAAACAGAAAATTAAAACATAAAACTGTTGGAAACATAGTCTTAGTGATGAGCAGAGACCTGCTTCTTTCTTGTGGGTTCCTGTTTTAGTTGTCATCTTAAAATCCACCCTGGGTTCATAAGATACAGACAAACAAGTAAACAGATGCAGATTAATACGGTTTTGCATACATTTGACTTTTTTCCATCAGACTTGTCAGATGATTTCAGGTGACACGTTTGGTACCCATTTAGCAGGTGTTTTACCACAGTCCCCACTTGTGATAAATACCAGTATGTGTGTGTGTATCTCTCCAAATTTCTGAGTTTTTCACATTTTTCCACAGGAGTTCAACTACAATTACGTCTGCAGGTTATTTMAATTATTAAAGTGTAAAAATATCAAATAAAAAAGATAGAAACTATTAGCTGAAGTCTTTATTTCATCACTTCTGGTCTGTTACAAGTTTCCCGGTAAACATGACAGAGATTTTTTGTCGAACAGTTTTGATTTGCAGTCCATAGATGATGGCGTTCATGGCAGGAGGAACCATGTGGAACAGGATGGAGGCTACCTTCCTGTGGTCCGATAAGTTGGGGAAACGATGAAGGATGACCATGATGGTGCCCGACACAYACATGATCATATACAGGACCAGGTGGGTGGTGCAGGTCTGCAGGGCCCGGATAGTGTTGGTCCTGCAGCGGTTGGTGAGGCAGACCATGACGATCCAAAAGTAGGTGAGCGTGATGCTGCCGAGGGAAGACCCCAGCAGAACCACGGTGTAGCCGAGACCGTAGATGTTGTTGATCAGGATGTCCTCGCAGGACAGCTTGAACAAGGAGGCGTTGTCACAGAATGGGTGGGACACGACCTCCCTGCAGCGGGACAGGCGAACACTAAGACCCACCAGGATCAGGACCATGACCAGAGCTACCCCCCAGGCTATTAAAGACAGACYCACCACCATCCTGTTGGTCATGATGGTGGAGTATCGCAGCGGGTTGCAGATGGCCACGTAGCGGTCGAAGGCCATGGTCATGAGCACGGTGTGAGCAGCTCCTGCATGCACATGAGCACAGAAGGCCTGAAGGACGCAGCTGCTGTAATGGATGTAACGCTCTGAGCGAGGGGTGAAGATGTCCTTCAGCAGGCGGGGGATGATGGTGGTGGCCCCAAAGGCATCATTAGCTCCCATGTTGCAGAAGAGCAGGTACATGGGCTGATGGAGGCTCCTCTGCAGGCTGATCAGGACCACCAGGCTGATGTTGGACAGCATGATGAAGATGTAGATGAGGAGGAGGAAGATGAAGACAGGGATGGATGACTGAGGGGAGACATTTAGCCCCTCCAGGAGTAGCATGTCAGAACCTAAAGTCAGGTTTTCCATCTGATGAAACCTGGAGAAAAAAATAAATTTATAATCAAGCTTAAAGTTTTTATGTAAATAAAACAATTATTTCAACATATCCTGGTCCAGATTTATTGTATTAAAACATAAATGTTCATTATGTACAGATTTAATATTAATTTAAATGTGTTTGAGCTGCTGCAGTGGTTAAGATGGTGCAGATTTTCAGTCATARAGGAAGCGGTAAATTTAAAAAATAATAAATAAATACAATGAGAATCTTTATTAACCTCCCTCCCCTCTCCCCTGACGGTCATTAGAGTTATTTCATTTCACTTTAAAAGTTTCATTTATTCATGTTCAAAGTTTGAGTGAGTTGTGAATCAAATGCACAATTCTGGAAATTAACAAATTTACTTATTGATAATTTTTCACGTCGATGTGATGCACACACACACACACACACACACACACACACACACACACACACACACACACACACAAGTAGATTTTTACATCTTTGTATGGACTTTGTCATTTCTACAGCCTTACCCTGACATTTAACCCTAAACTTAACCACCTCAGTACATACCTGACCTTAAAACAATAAATAAAAAATAATTGTTAAAATGATAAAAACAACAAACATTAAAAACAGTAAAAGCCAAAAAGAAAACCAGTCTGTTTTAAGTCATAATTTAAAACAGGAAGTGATTCAGAATTTTATCAAACTCTGGTAGATTACATCATCATCTTGTGATTTTTTATGTTCAAAATGTTTCAGTAATGGTTTCTATGAGTCGTTCAAAATCACTATTATGGCTACTTTTGCT